TACCATGATTTCAAAATCTTGCTGATGTTAAGTTTCTCCTCTCTTGTTATTTTGATTTTTTAACCTCATTCCTTAAATTAAATGTCAGTCTTCTGCTTCAATATTCATTGTCCATTTATGACATTGGCGATCATGACTCTCTAGCCCTATTTGCTATGACAATAAACTAAATCTGGCAGCAAGGCATCTGATCGGAAGAATTATTGATTTATCTGAATTACTGTTCCCATCTTGATAATCATATAAGACTTTATATAAACAAAGATTCGGCTAAGTACACTTCAGGTGCCCGTTGCTCGGTTTATATGGCATATCTACTGACCAGTTCAGGGATTGAACTCACAACATCTAGATGACAAAATCACATGTTTGATCAACTCCTATATCCACTATGTCGGAGGACATTGGTGGTATATTTTTGGTGCCTTTGTTTTTAATACAGATATTTTCGATATTGTTCATCATAGCGATATCGTACCTTGTTTTTAGATACATTTCTATTCCATTCTGAGATGAGGAATTATCATTATACTTTCATTATTTCGAATTCTTGTTCTCATCTTGATTATTATAGATGTTATCATACACATAGCGTTTTCGCCAATTATCCTCTGGATATCTGACGATGGTGAAAGCGTACTTGGCCGAAACTTTGTGTCTATATTAACATCGATATTAATGAAGATAAGTATAATAGTTCAAAATAATAAAACTATTTTGTAAAATTAGTTTTCAAATTACTACCTGCAGAATTTTCAGATCAAACAGTCTTGTCAAATCCACTTTGCGTTCTCGCTATAAGTAACTTTCTGTTAATAGTATAATCTACCCAAGTGAGTTAAGTAATGGGTTTGGTTGGAGATTTCAACATATATCACCTGAAGAAGGTCGGAGCGCACAACGGCCGAAACGTCGTGAATGTGATGATAAAGAAGAGGACAACAATCTGAACAATGTCAATAGTGTAAATAGTTACAATACGTCATCTAAGAAATATAGACCTGTTATAAAATTAGTTTTGAAATTATTACCTGCAGAATTTTCAGAACATTCTTGTAAAATCTTCTTTGCATGTTCGCTATAAGTAACTTTCTGTTCAGATATATTTACTATATTATTTTATACGTAGATTTCCACATCTGAGTGATTTCTGACGATGAAAACACTGATGAATAGGAACTTGTCTTTGTAAATAAAATCTTCCCTTTCTCGCTTTCGTTTTTAAGTAGACAGATGTTTAGACGTTTTCATCATAAGGATCTTAGATTCGTGTCTATTTCCCGCTTTCTAAAAGGCGGCAAAAAAAAGTTGCTTCTTCTCAAACGGTTTACAAGATTAATTGGCCTTTTAAGAATCAAGTATGAATCTTTACCTTTTACCTTCGATGCTGTGTCAGTTTCGACCGCGAAGCTTTTTGGTTGCGACAAGCACAAACACTCCAAATGAAATACTCGGACACGAGCAGCCAGACATTTTATACACACAACATTTCGGTGGTGTATCGTCTGGACATCATGTACACCTGATGATGTCGAAAGGGTACTCGGCCGAAACGTTATGCCTATATTAACATCTATAATGATGAAGTTAACGACAACTGTTCGAAATAATCAAAGTATATTGTCAAATTTATTTACACTATTTACATCGTTTGAACTATTGTCCTCATCTTTATTTTCATATTCACGACCAACGCTCTTATCCTCCTGGCCATATGTTCCAAAGTTGTCCATTGCCCAGTGGTTGGTTGAAGTAATGCACTGACTTGACCCAAAGAGTTGTGAGTTCAATACCTGTCCACAGTAGAGGCGAACAAAAACATGAAGAGTTCAGTTAATTATGGGAAATAACTGACACTGAGATATCCAGAAAAGGCATGGCACGTGGAACTAGTATAATCTACGCAAGTGAATTAAATTATCGGTTCGGTCAGAAATTCCAACATACATCACCTGAAGAAGGTCGGAGCGTACAACGGCCGAAACGTCATGAATATGACAATAAAGAAGAGTCTGGACAATGTCAATAGTGTAAATAGTTACAATACCTCATATCAGAAATATAGATAGATATTATGAAACTATTTTTGAAATTATTACCTGCAGAATTTTCAGAGCAGACACTCTTGTAAAATCTTCTTTGCATGTTCGCTATAAGTAACTTTCTGTTCAGATATATTACTATATTATTTTATACGTAGATTTCCACATCTGAGTGATTTCTGGCGGTGAAAATATTGAATAATAAGAACTTGTCTTTGTAAATAAAAGCTTCCCTTTCACTCTTTCGTTCTTAAGTAGACAGATGTTTAGACGTTTTCATCATAAGGATCTTAAACTTGTGTTTATTTCTCACTCTTTAAAAGACGGCAAAAAAAGTCGTTATTTCCCATATGGTGTACAAGATTGATTGGTCTTTTAAGAAAGTTATTTGCTTGAGATAGGCACAAACACTACCCGATTCAGGTTTGAACTCACAAACTCTTGATGACAAAAACACATATATCGCCCTCTCTTATATCAACTACGCCCTTTTCCCCAAAATATCAGTGGCATATTTCTGGAGTCTTTGTGTTCAATAATAGAGGGTATCATGGCGGTTTCGTACCGTTTGTCGATAATTTTTTATTTCATTAATGGGATGAGAAATTTGTAATTCCTCGTCAGAAAAATAAGCTACTTGCGAAACCTTGTTTTATTTCATATTTGGGATTTGTTAACTTCTTCCGAATTAAAAAAAAATGATTGGATAATTTTTGCCCGGGATAGTAACTGATAGACCCGACTATGATTCAACCGAATATTCGTCACAAAATTACGTAGCTGGAAATTTTAGATTAACAGAGGTTCAAAGCGAATATTTTTGAAAGCCAGTAATGATGTTGTTCCCAGGTCTACTTTGACCCGGTTGGGTGGTAGAAACTGATAGGGTCCTAACTACAAGCAAATAATGACGAGCCCCAAAACAACCCATTATGAAACTAATTTTTTTTATAGTAAAAATACTAGCAATATACTTGATATAAAAAAATGGTCCCAACTAGATTTTGTCTGTAGTTGAAGGCATTTAGTTGAAGCCATAGAATGATGTTCCAAATATTTAGATTTCGGCATTAAATAACACATACAGTTTGACATTCAAGAAATCCAAGAGAAGTGGTATAAGCAGCTTCCAACCTCTACAAAAAATGAATTCCAAGAATACTTCCATCAAGGGAAACGACATGGAATAAAGTGTGGGGCTTCAGATGGGGGATTACTTTCTAATTTGAAGGAGATTAAATGCCGAATTGATATGTGTTGTGGTTTTCTTTTTATATTACCCGTCCCGTATATATATATATATATGTATGTATGTATGTATGTATGTATATGTGTGTGTGTGTGTGTGTTTAGGCTAGTCAGCAATCCTTCTTTCATGTAAATTTCATTCAATACGACAGACAAAGTGCTTTTATTTATTTTTTAGGCAAATTTTCATGAGATCTAATAATTATTTTTCTTTTCAGATGATAAATTATATAAAAAGCTGTCCGAATGTTCTTTTTATCCGAGCGCTTTCGGCTATACATTTAGCCATTTTCAAGGATTATATATATATATAATGTGAAATGGATTAAATCCGACAAATATTTTTTTATATTTTGTATTTATACGTTATTTTTATGGATACAACTAATATGAGTAAATGCTCTGTTTTAATTAAACAGTATTAATTACATTTACCGGCGTTAATATTCAAGAAATTACGTAGAAAACATGCGTTCTGTAATAAAATCCGATAAGGAGACTGTCATATAGTCTAACCTGCTGTCAACCATTCAATCACAGAGAACTTTTCGGTTAACAAAGTTCAAATTATTGTTTATAAACAAACATCTTCGACGCTCTCTCTCGATAATTCATTTATGTTACAAGATTTACGAAAGTTACGTTATTTTGCCCAAATAATTTGTATCCATAAAAATAATGGATAAGCATAATATATATATATATTGACCGTGTTTTGAACAATGAAAACATTATATAAATACATACATGCAACAAAGTATTTCTTATTTAACAGTTTAAATATTTAGTCATTTAAAATGGAAATTTTTATATATATATATATATATATATATATATATATATATATATATATATATATAAAAGAAATATACATTTATTTATATCATATTTACATTCACGCATATATATATATATATATATATATATATATATATTATAAATTAACTGATTTAAAATATGTTTTTCGCTACACAGTAATAACCATGTTTCAAAAATGGAAGTAAAAGGTAAAAGTAAAAGGTTCAAATTTAATTTTGTAATTAAATTAAAAACATTAGTTCCATTTCATCCTCAAGCGACTGTTCTTTCTTTTATCTCTCTCGCTCTCTCTCCCTCTCTCTCTCTCTACACACACACACACACACACACACACACACATATATATATATATATATATATATATATATATATATATATATATATATATATATATATATATTCAGTTGTATGGATATGAGTTTGCGAGTCTGGGTTTCAGGCTTTTGCGATCATCAGACAAGTTTTGTTATTTCTTAAAATTGAATATGTTATCTCCATCATTGATATTGAGCGCTTTCCATTAAGTACCACTAATTACTGCACAGGCAAAATCTCTCTCTATCTCTCTCTCTCTCTCTCTCACACACACACACACACACACATATATGTATATATATATATGTATGTATATATATATATATATATATATATATATATATATATATATATATATATATATATATATATATATATATATATATATATATATATATATATATATATATATATATATATGTATACATTCTTTCTTTAGCATCCCAAGGTTTATGATCAATCTTCTGGGCTGTAAATAAAGTAGCGCTAACCTATATAATACTTTCCGCCTTGTTTCCATTTTTCCTTCTTTTTTTTCCTTTTTTTTTCCTTTAATAATCTCCTATTCATAAGTCCATGTCGCTCGTCGTCTACTTTGCTCCGACCTTGGAGTCAGGAGGTGGGAAAATCCAGTCGTCGATTTCCCATAAAACATAGCGAAAAGAATCCGGCTGACTAACACGTCAGTTCCGCACGTAAGATAAGATTAACCTTACTAGCCTCTACTCAAGTGACAACAAACAAGTGTAGTGGCCTACCTCAATGTTGAAATGCCATATTTCCTGCTTTAATATAAGTAAATGCTTTATGTGAGTTTGGGAGAAAAGAAAAAAAATATCTAAAAAAGAAAAAAAAATGATCACTTGGTTGAGTTACCGATACACCTTACCATCCATGTTTGACACACTAATCCACTGATTGCCTCTCTCTTTCTCTTTCACACACACACACACATGCACCCTCACACACACACACGCACACACACATATATATATATATATATATATATATATATATATATATATATATATATATATATATTATTTTTATCATTATAAATGTATTTATTGGATACACATGTTCGAGTAAAAATCTATGTTTTTTTTTTAAGTGAAATTGACGCCTACTAACCTGGGTTTCGAAAATTTTTAATAAAAGAATTCGTGCTTCAGCAGAGTAGGAACTATTCCACCATTCACCCTGGTATGGAGTATTGCTGCCATATATGGTCTGGAGCGCCTTCTATTTGTCTCAATGTCCTTGATAAAATCCAGAGACAGATATGCAATATAATTGGCCCTGATCTGGAATCTCGTCTGCAGTCGCTCTCTTACAGACGTGCTGCCGCCTCTCTCTGTCTTTTTTACAAATACTTTCACGGTAACTGCTCCGATGAGCTGCTTTCGCTGGTTCCCAGACTTCATGAATTTAAGCGTTCAACTAGGCTGGCATCTCGCTTTCATCCTTTCGCTATCGAATCTGTTAAATGTAGCCGTCTCTTCTACTCCAATAGCTTCATGTTTCGCACTTCTCACCTGTGGAACTCCCTCTCTTTTTCCTGTTTCCCTGATAGCTATAATCTCTAACTATTCAAATGTAATATCAATCGACATCTCCAGATGCCCTGATCTATTCTCTATTCTTCTCTTCATCCTTTCCTCTATCATTCCTATTTGCTCTCGCTCCAACACTCTTTAACCCCTTGCGTGCTAGTGGCTTCTCGCCTTGCTTGCGGTGAAACGCTTAAAAAAAAGCTCTTACCTTCACGGCAAGGACCCACCATGCTACTTTCATACTAGAAAACCACCCACATTACTGCCGTATTCCATACAAGCCGTTTCTTCCCGCGAAGCACTGCTCTATGGAACAGACTTCCAAGAGGTTGTTTCCCCGATTACTACAATCTTACCCTGATGAAGACTAGAGTCAACCTTTATCTCCCTCTCCTACCCATATAAATTATCCCTTAACGTAACCCTCTACCTCGAGTGACCCCCAGGCCATGTACAGGGTAAACCTTACTGTAAAATAAAATATTAAGTTTCTGTCAATAGCATTGAGCTCTCCTCGCTTTATTCTATATTTTAAACTTTAGCTTTTATTCTTATATATATATATATATATATATATATATATATATATAAATTAAAATATACTTTGCTGAAACGTTATTTGAGAGAAATTATCTAATTTAAAATCAATCTGAATTAAAACTGATATCGCAGAAAAGTATTTTTTTTTTTTTAATACGAGGTGGGTGTTTTAATGAGGAATTGACACATTTATCGACAGCCTGATGTTTGGGAAATTTATTTCCGGAGATAATTATATTAAAATTACGAAAATTACGTAATAAATACAACGAACACGCCTTTATATATATATATATATATATATATATATATATATATATATATATATATATATATATATACCTGGTAATCTTAAAAAAATTAATTTAGCTTTTCTAATATTTTATTGAAATTAAGGTTCTATGGTTTTCTTATTTAACATCGTGTTAAGGAAAGTTTATAAAATTGAGAATTTTAAGTTTAGTATAGCTACCTCTCTTATTTTCTCATAAAACGTGTATCATATTTACAAAAATCGGCAAGTTTATAATACACAATAAATTTTCAGTTTTTTTAAATGCTGTTGGTCAATGACTTAAGTGAGATTTTCTATTTATGATTAGTAGATACAGTTTTGTATTTAATATTAATATGCTTTACTGCTAAAAATTAAATCAAAATGCTTACATACTGCCACTGAAACCTTTTGGTAATAATATTCCCGGATATCGGGCAATTTAGAATCAAACTTTCACTGGAAATTAGAAATATGAACAGAAATATAGAAAAATATACTTCAATTGACCTTTAAACACATACTCAGATACATATTATTACTTCAAACGTTGTTATAGTGGCTACTTGTGTTTTGAATATATGTGACGTCACTCTAGCCCTGCCCCCGTGCTGTCCTGTGACGATCTAACCCCTGGCTGATTCGGATGAAAATCTGGTTAGATTCGGCACCAGCTTTGTCGTTCCCAGCTCGCCTCCAACGTCTGGTTACCGAAGTAACTGCTTTGATTTCTAGTCTAACCTACCCACGTTGTGATTTCATTTAGGTATACGAAATCAATCAGGCGTCGGGCCGCAGTGCAAGCCGAATTTGGGCAAAGGCGATATCGCACAAGTATAAGTAAAAGAAAATAAAGTAACAACTCAAAAGACTCAAATGTGTTAAAAAGAGAACAACAAGTATCTTTATATCTGGTTTCTGAATACAGGAATGCGTCTTTCTCCCAAACCGCTTCTATGGATACGTGACACTTTGCGTTTCTTAGGCGAGTCTTAATATCCTAAGTTGTTTTTCAATAAACTGGTTTTTGGTGTCTTCAGGCGATATTCGTAAAACTTGTTTTGGTGGTGTGAGTCTAAGTCGTTCTTCAAAAAAAAAAAAATTTTTGGTTAGAAGTCTAAGACGGAATGCGTGGGAATCTTTCAGTCAGCTCCTGCGAGGCTGGTCTCCGAGCTCACAGCTCAACTCTGTGACTCCAACTCTGCTGCGTAACTCTACTCCGTAACTGTCTCTACTCTGGGGACGTTCGTTTATATGGACGCCGACCAAAACCGGGTGGGACCTGTCGTGGTTTGGGTTCCTCGATAATTCCAAATCCGCAATAAGGATTTTCTTTGTTTTCGGACAGGAAAAATTATCACTTACCATTTTTGGAAGTCAATTCCTTTCTGTTTTAGAGGGGTTCTTAAGGGAATTGTCCTCCCAAATTTTTCTTTTCTCATATTGGTATCTCACACCAATCCCCTCAGAGGCGTCAACAGGTTTCCCTTCTTTCTCATATGTTTACCTTCGCCCATCCCTCACGCCACCATTCAGCCAATGGACGCTCGGGAGTGTGGGTGTGGCTACACTGGCCTCAGTTTACAATTATCGCTCAAAGAAAAAAAATATCTTCTTTTTTTTTCTTTCTTTTCTTCGACTAGAGCCCCCACGACTCGTACTGTGGTCATTAAATCTCTATCTTAACTGGATGTCATCCGGAATTCATCAACGGGATTTCCGCCAAGTGATTATCTGGGTGGTTAACTGAATCTCTATGTCTTCCTCAACGTCTTCGCACCCTGTCACCAACAGCCTGTCCAGGTAACAACTTTTATCATGGCATGGTCTGGACATAAAACAGGTGGTTCTCTTCCAAAACCAAATGATATCCCCGAAAGATAGTTAATGGTTTATTCTTTTTCTTTTTCTCTTTTTCCTTCCTTTTTCTTTGGAGTGGTCTCACCTAATTCCCTTCTCGGTTGCATGCTTGACCCAATTCCCGATTATCTTCTAGCATTCCGCTTTGTAAGCCTCTTGACCAATTTTAAATTTTCATTATTGCCTTGGACAGATTGCTATCTTTTATTCGCAGTCTGCCGTTCCTCGCCGCGTCATGGCATAAATTAATTCTGACTACGAATTCCCTATCTTCTGCGAAAAAAAAAAATACTTTCCTTCGCAAATGAAAATAAAATCTTTACCCACTTTTCTTTTGTTAAAAAAATAACATCGCTCAGTATGTCTTTCGTGATAGCTTCTTCTCGCCTTAAGTATTTCTCGCTTTTAATTTTCACGCTTAATTAGTTAACCAAACGCTAAATAGTGTCACAACATGTCGCATTTTTTTTATTATTAAACAGAGTATATTACATTTTTTATTATTAAACAGAGTATATTACAACTTAGAGTAATGGATAGCGGCTTGGATTGAGGTGTCGGAGAGTCGAGTTCGAATTCCAGTCGAAACCATTGCATTCACTTACGTGCTAATACCCTTGGGAAAGGCGTGTATCCTCTTCTTCTCCCACCAGCTATGGATAAATAGCAGAACAGACTTGGTTCTATAGCCTTGGATGGCATATGTTCTACCGTAGAAAGAAATGGCTACCTATTTCAGGAAAAGAAAGTTACATGATCGCTTAAGCGTGTTTCAAGCATTGCACAAAACTGACTGATATTACAACTATTGGCATGCGGATTCGAGAAACATTAACGAATACATTGCACTCCCCTTCAAGGATCGAACGTGCGTCCTTCTTTGTAGAAAAAAACGCCGTTTAATATGACGTACTTTAGCGCTCGTCTACAGAGACTCTCGTTCTATTTTTCCTTTAAAGGAATACACACACATGATATATTTTATATCATAAAGAAACATTTTATACAAATGATTCAATAACAATGTTTGATTCATTTTTTCTGTATAAATTTTTCCTTCAAACTCTAATATATATATATAGTCTTCCACATACAATCCTTTTTCTAGTGTGGCTAGACATACGATTGCCTCAAGTCGGAATCGAAACCCGACTGAATTCCACAGATCCTACCCTCAAGCGATTGGCGCACGGCAGTGAAATCTTAAAAATTCACAGATTATAATTTAAAAATAAAAATCCTGAAAGTGCTCTAGAAATAATTTATCCTGGTACTTACATCTGTTTTAGTATATTCCTTCCTACCTATCTATCTATCTATCTATTTATCTATCTCATCAGCAGCAGCAGTTTGTGTGGTCAATTTGCGCAAATAAAACTTCGTTTGAAATCGGGAGCAATATTCATTCACGTGTAGCAAATTCTGAACAAGTAGATCTTTTGCCTTTCCCTCTTTATCTTTTATTCTCGCAGTCACGGATTCCAGGAAGTGTGTGACTCGATGGAATCGTCATACGAGTCCTTCATTTAAGGACAAATCTGAAAATTATTCCAAAAGGAGTGGCAGTATGTAACGAAAATCAGTAAAGCATATAATATTAAATACAAAACTGTATCCTAATCATAAATAGAAAATCTCATTCATTGACCAACAGCATTTAAAAAATCTGAAAATAGTCTGACTTGGACGTTGACCAGTCAAAGGAACCACATTTATATATCTATGGAGCCCAGCCTACACCATGTTTCACCCCACAAGAAATATTCAGTCGCTCTTTCACAGGTCTTGTTTTTAACTCTACTATGTGTATAATCGCCAGCCTCACCAGCAAATGTGTTGGGGAAACCGTTTTAGTCGCTGGGAACCGACTCATATGGTTAGTAACTGTAGCAGTCGTAATTCATATCCCTCTTTCTCTTTCTCTCTCTCTCTCTCTCTCTACACACACACACACATATATATATATATATATATATATATATATATAAAAGTGAACATTGAAGTCAATACTTAGAGGAGGCAGGCTAGACGCAATCGTCATGCCATTATGACTATATGTATTAGAGGTGACCTGACGATCGCGTCTGGCATGAAACAGCCTGTCGCCTCTAAGTGTTGACTTCAATGTTTACTTTTATATTTACACACGGTCTATCTCTGATATTGAGCACTTTATCCCATAAATATAGCACACCTTAAAACTATATTTCTTCATATATATATATATATATATATATATATATATATATATATATAATTCCCAAATCTAGCCTTAATGGAATAAAGAAGGAACAAACTATATCGTAGGGTGGCGGCTTGTAAACTATCTATCTATCTATCTATCTATCTATCTATCTATCTATCTCTCTATCTGTCTATCTATCTATCTATCTATCTATCGTTTTTTTGCTTTTATCTTTTCACCCCAAGCAAGGCGATTATGCAACTAGAACACAGGATGTTACAGGGAGTGAAAGAGAATGGGAAAACTTTAGTGGAGAGCATTAAGGAATAGACAATAAAGAAACAGTGTTGAAGAAGACAAAAGATGGCGATTATGGAGGCTAGTAATCAGGAGCGAGTTCCATAGGTGATAAGTGTGAGAAAAGTAACTGTTAGAGTAGAAGTGGAGGTTGCAAGAAGCTAGTTCAACAGAAAAACTGTGAGACCCAATTGCCAATCCAGTAACGCACTTAAATTCATGTCATCGAGGCACCGGGAGGAGAAAAAAAGCTCATCAGTACAGTTGCCATGAAAAGCAACGTCATGTCTCTGAAGTTGAGATGACCGGTCAGGATCGATTACATTACAGAATATTCTTTGGATTTTGGCAAAAATTTCGAGATGTGCAACAGGAACTCCAGGCCAGATATGGCAACAGTATTCAACACACGGACGAATGGTAGATTTGTAAATGTGCAAGATGGATTCTGGCGAGAAAGATTTTCTGGCACGACACAGTAAGCCAATAGTTGATTCGATATAGTTGTGGAAAACGTGAGGCTAAGAAGGCGTAGAGTGTTATTCGTCTGGAGTTGAGTACCAGCCATGCTGATGGAAGTCAGAAAAGCATCTCTGTGGTGATTTAATTAAATCTATCTATCTATCTATCTATCTATCTATCTATCTATCTATCTATCTCAGTCTGTTCATATCTGTCTATCTTTGTATCTATCTCACTATGTTCATATCTATCTATTAATCTATCTAAATATATATATATCAATATGTCCGTATCTGTTTCTATCTAAATCTATCTAAATCTATCTCAATCTCTTCATATCTATCTCAGTCTGTTCACATCTATCTATCTATCTATCTATCTATCTATCTATCTATCTATCTATCTATCTATATCAGTCTGTTTAGTCTGTATCTATCTATCTATCTATCTATCTATCTATCTATCTATCTATCTATCTATCTCAATATGTCCATATCTATCTATTTATCATATCTATCTTTCTATCTAAATCTATCTGTCTAAATCTATCTCAATATCTTTATATCTGTCTTTCTATCTATCTACATATGTATCTATCTGTCTGAATCTATTCAGTCTGTTCATATCTATCTATCTATCTATCTATCTATCTATCTATCTATCTATCAAAGTGAAAGAGTGGGGGATAGCGTGAATATGTTTGTTTACAATAGTCATTCATCAAGGCGTGCCAGCATGTTTAGAAAATTATCAAAATCCCGATTTCTTTCTTAGCTTGACCACCGACCTCTAGAAATAGTACGAAAAAAATCTCTTGCTATAAAAATAGCCTGCGAGACCATCTTATTGGTCATCTTAAATCCTTTCTTGTCCTTATCTTAACCGGTTAGAAAACATCAGTGACG